GAAATACAGAATTTAAAGAACTTGAGACACGTGGTCATAAACTAAAGGGGGAATGGTGGGGGGGTGTACAGGGTGGAGGGGAATGAAGGGGGGAATAGAAAAACTGTAATGGCATAATCAATAAAATATATTAAAAAAAGAAATTACTATGAACAACTATATGGCAAGAATCTGCACATCCTAGGCAAAATGGATAAATTTCTGGAAACAACAATCTCCCAAAACTGAATCAAAGAGAAGCAGAAAGCCTGAACAGCCCGATAACAACTAGCAAAATTGAAACAGTAATCAAAAACCTCCCAGCACACAAAAGCCCTGGACCAGATGGCTTCACAAGTGAATTTTCCCAAACATTCAAAGAAGAATTAACCACTATCCTTCTCAAACTATACCAAAAAATTCAAGAAGAGGGAAGACTCCCAAACTCTTTTTATAAGGCCAGCATTATTATAATTCCAAAACCAGGTAAAGACACAACAAAGAAAGAAAACTACAGGCCAATATCTCTGATGAACAGAGTTGCTAACATCATCAACTAAACATTGGCAATCCAGATCCAGCAATACATTAAACAGATCATATACCCAGGATCAAATGGGATTCATCCCAGGAATGCAAGGATGGTACAATATTCTCAAATCAATAAACATAACACAATGTAAACAGAATGAAAGACAAAAATCACATGATCATATCAAATGATGCTGAAAAAGCATTTGACAAAATCCAGCACCCATTTATTATAAAAACACTCAGCAAAGTGGGAACACAGGGAGCACACCTCAACATAATAAAGGCCATACATGAGAAACCTACAGCCAACATTACTCAATGAGCAAAAACTAAAATATTTCCCACTAAGGTCGAGAATAAGATGAAGGTGCTTTCACCACTTCTATTCAACATAGTACTGGAAGCTGCAGCCACAACAATTAGACAAGAAGAAGTAATAAAAGACATCCAAATTGGAAAGGAGGAAATAAAACGTATTCACAGATGACATGTTACTGTACATAGAAAACCCTGTAGTCTCCACCAAAAAATTACCTAATAAGTGAATTTGGTAAAGTAGCGGGATACAAAGTCAATATTCAGAAATGGATGGCATTCTTATACACCAACAATGATTATAAGAAAGACAAACTAAGAAAAAATCCCATTTACTATATCAACAAGAAGAATAAAGTACCTAGGAAGAAATTTAACCAAGGAGGTAAAAGACCTGTACCTGGAGAACTTTAGAACACTGTACAAAGAAATTGAGGAAGACACAAAATAAACAGAAGCATATACTGTGTTCATGGACTGAAAGAATTAACATCATTAAAATGTGCATACATCCAAAGCAATCTATAGATTCAATACAACTCCTATTAAAATACCAATGACGTATTTCACAGATCTAGGACAAATATTCCAAAAATGTATATGGAACCAAAAAAGACTCTGAATAACCTCAGTAATCCTGAGAAAGGATCCAACAAAGTTGGAGGGATCACAATACCTGATATCAAACTATATTATAAGGCCACTGTAATCAAAATAGTCTGATGGTACTGGCATAAGGACACATAGATCAATGGAACAGAATAAAGAGCCCAGAAATAAACCCAAGTCTCTGTGGTCAACTGATATTAAACAAAGGGGGCATGAGCATAGAATGAAGTAAAACCAGTCTCTTCAATAAATGGTGTTGGGAGAACTGGACTGGTACACGCAAAAAAAAATGAACCTAGACCACCAACTTACACCTGCATACAATCAAAATGGATAAAGGACTTAAATATAAGTTGTGATACTATAAATGTCCTAGTGGAAAACATAGGCAGTAAAATTTCAGACATCACACACAGCAATATTTTTGCTGCTATAACTCCTAGAACAAGGGAAACAAAGGAAAAATACAAATGAGGTAACAACAAATTAAAAAGTTTCTGCATGGCTAAAGAAATCATCAAAATGAACAGGGAACTGACTGTATGAGAGAACATATATGCCAATGATACATTGGACAAGGGTTTAATCTCCAAGATACATAAAGAACTCATACAACTCAACACCAGGAAGGCAAACAACCCAGTTTAAAAATGGGCAAACAACCTGAATAGGCATTTCTCCAAGAAGGACATTCAGAGGGCCCAGAGACATATGAAAAGATGCTCAGCATCACTAGTCATCAGAGAGATGAAAAAAACACAATGAAATATCACCTCACACCTATCAGAATGGCCATCATTAATAAACCAACAAACAAGTGCTGGTGAGGATGTGGGGAAAAGGGGACCCTAGTGCACTGTTGGTGAGAATGCAGACTGGTGTGGCCACTGTGGAAAACAGTACAGAATTTCCTCAAAAAATTAAAAATGGAACTACATTATTACCCAGTGATTCCACCACTGGGAATATACCCTAAGAATTCTGAAACGCTAATTCAAATGAACTTATGAATCCCTATGTTCATAGCAGCACTATTTATAATAGCTAAGGGTTGGAAACAGTCCAAGGGCCCATCACTAGATGGGTGGATTAAAACACTGTGGTACATTTATGTATTAGAATACTACACAGCAGAAAGAAAGAACTCCTACCTTTTGTATAGCATGACTAGAGCTGGAGACTATTATGCTAAGTGAAATAAGCCAGTCAGTGAAAGACAAATACCATATGACCTCACTTACAAATGGAATCTAATGAACAAAATAGACTAATGAGAAAAACAGAACCAGAGACATGGAAACATGGCACAGACTGATAGCTGTAGGAGGGTGTGAAGGAAGGGGGAAATGGTGGAAGGAAGGGCAAGGGACTAGTCAAAGAACATGTATGAAGACTCATGGACCTGGACAATGCAGAGGAGACTGACTGTGGACGAGAGAGGGGTGGGCTGGGTGAAGGGAGTAAAAAGGAAAAAAAATTGGACAACAGTAATAAACAATAAAAAATAAAAATAGATCTGAAAGGGAAAAAATGTTTTCAGCAGTGGAAAAACGTCTTGAAAGGTGTATTGCATCAAATAGAGAGTCCTCTAAGGTGACTGAATTTTAAACAGAAATATATATGTGTGGTATGGAATATTACTCAGCCATTAAAAATGAGGAGATCCTGCCACTTGCAACAATATGGATGGAACTTAAGGGCATTATACTAAGTGAAATAAATCAGACAGAGAAAGACAAATACTGTACAATATCACTTATATTTGAAATCTAAAAAGAAAAAAGAAACCACCTCACAGAAAGAGATCAGATGTGTGGTTTACCAGAGATGGGGGTGGACAGTGATTAAAGGAAGGTGGTCAAAAGGTACAAACTTCCAGTTATGACTCAGTACCCGGGATACAACAACGTACAACATGATGACGACAGCTAACATTGCTGTGATATGTGTGAAAGTTAAGAGAATAAAACCTAGGAGCACTCATCACAAGGAGAAAATTTTTTTGCTCTTTTAAAAATTATACCTATATGAGATGATAGATATTAACTAAACTTATTGTGGTAATAATTTCACAATATATGTAAGTCAAACCATTATGCTATATACTTTAAATTTACATAGTGATGAATATCAATTATATCTCAATAAAACTGGAAAAAATTAAAAAATAAAAGAGGGTCCTGAAACAAACAAAAGAGCTGGATGAAATATAAAAGACATCAACTTGAAGCCCTGGCTGGTGTAGCTCAGTGGATTGAGCATGGGCCTGCGAACCAGAGTGTCGCAGTTCAGTTCCCAGTCAGAGCACATGCTTGGGTTGCAGGCCAGTTCCTAGCAGGGGATGCATGAGAGGCAACCATACATTGACATTTCTCTCCCTCTCTCCTTCCCTTCTCCTCTAAAGATAAATAAATAAATTTAAAAAAAAAAAAAGACATCGACTCGAAGGCAGAGTGATAAGCAGATAGTAAAAAAAACTTCTAGGCCACATCCTGGGGGAAGCTGGAAGCCCAAAAAGATAAGGCCAGCATCTCGGAGGGAAAAGAAACTCCCACTGGCTCCCAAAGAAGTAAATGGTATTTTTGTTGTTTTCAAGCTGCCATTTATGATGGAACATTTAGGAAAAGACACAGGTAGCAGACTCATGACAGGCACACCCACTGAGTCATCCATTAGCCATGCCCTATTCAAGAAGACACCAGCTCTTAATCTCTCATGTCCCTTACTTTGTCAGGATTTAGATGCGTTGTTGGGGAATAAGAGCATAAAATAGATATGTTACTTCTTATGAGTGGCTTGAAAGGGTAAAAACTTCTTCCTCCAAAGAACCCAACTGTTCCTACTTACTAGCAAGACTGAGCCTAATGCAATAAGACTGATGGCACTACACACCAAATACCACGTATGACAGGGAAGCAGCTCAGACCCTGCCCCGTGTCTGACACCCCCCATCTCCCTGTCACCACCACTGGAAGAGAAAGTACCCTGAAAAGGAGACTGACTGGCCTGTGAACCAGCCTAGGCCCTGCTTGATCCGGCAGTGCAGACCCAACCTTCTGCCATTTTCCCCTCATTCCGTCTGCTTTGGACACACTGACCTCCTTGAAACCACCACGCCCTCCTTTCAGGGATCCAGCTCACGCTGCTCCCTGTACCTGAAGCACTCTTCCCCTAATGACACCATTCTTGATGTGACTGGGTCCTGTATCCCCACAGGGTTCAGCTGAAAATGCTCCCTCCTCGAGAGGCTTTTCCTGACAGCCTGTGCAGATGGGTCACCTACAACACCCAGTGTTCTTCCCCATCACTAAGTCTATTTATTTTTTTATAGCCATTGACACAATCTGTAATTAAGTGCTCATTTTCTGACTCATCCAAACAAAATTAAGCTTCCCTATGAGGGCAGGACTGTCTTTTCTATTCATTAGTAAGTGCCCAACATCCAGTACAGTAGCTGGTACACAGTAAGGGTTCATTATACATTTGTTGAACAAATTAGTGAGCATTAGGAGAGCTTCCTTGGCTCTGATTCGGTCTCAGACCTCCAGGACACAGTGGCTCACCTTGTACATAGGGCCCCATCTCTGGGTGCTCCCTCACCCGCAGGGTATAAGACTTTTTTTGATCAGATGGCTTCAACAGATCTCTCACTCGTTCATTATAGATTTCTAGAAAACTAGAGACATGTGGGAAAAGGCACACAGTTAGATTTTGAAAAGTGGGGACATATTTTCAAAATTAGAGTTTGAAAGAAGGCAATATGATTAGACTTTCAAATAAGTGGGAAACACAGCAAACCAACAACCAGAAGGTCCCAGTTCTTGTTCTAGTTCCATCTCTGACATTCTAAGACCTTGATCGTGCCAGGGTTCTCCCGTGAGTCTCTTTCTACATTTGTACAATACGGTTTTTAGCCTTGGCTATCAACACTCAGTTCTAGGTTTGGCACATTTTCGCACTATGCCAGTACCGATTCAAGTTTCGCCTTGGAGAGGCCATTTCAGCGTGGTTTGGAGCGTGCCACGGCCAGCCCGTGCCACCGTGATCAGGCCGCCGCAACACGGAGTCTGCAAGCCTGCTTGTTGAAGTGGCTTTCAACGTGATCTTTGGGCTCTTTTACTCTGTGAAGGCATCTCAAGGGCCACTGCTGAGCAACAAACGAAGGTAAATGACAAGGGTTTGGTCCCTACCCCTAATTAAAGTAGAACAATTCTCTCTTTGTTCGTTTTACATACTGGGATTCTGTTTAAGATGTGCTGTGTTGTATAGGAATTTTATTGTATAGGCATTTTATTCCTTTAAAAATAATAACAGCTTTGATTCATTATTAAAATCAGTAAATGGTGGGGGGTAAATGCAGACAACTGTACTTGAACAAGCAAATAATTAAAAATTTAAAAAATCAGTAAAGATTTTGCTAAATAAGAAAACAGACCTCCCACAGAGAGGACTTCCTCATCAGAACATGGATGCTTGTCTATGGAGCCAGCAGTCAGAAAAAAAGGCTGCGGCGCTAAGCTGTCCTCCATGTGCACTCGCCCCACAGAGGGTTGCTCCTCGCCCTTCTCATATTTAGACACAGGAACATTCAATGTCTCTTAGAATAGTGAGTGGTTCCCAGATTTCATGCACAGTAAGTCATTTAATACATATGTATATGTTTATACACACACATACAAGCACACAGGTTTGAACACTTTAACCTTGCAAACTTAAAAATATAAAAATAATATTTATAATCATTTAATTTTAAAAAAGGACATTACTCTTTTGGGATGATAAAAATTTTCTGGAATTAGATAGTATGATGGCTGGACAACCTTGTAATTATCAGGAAAAAATCACTGAACTGTATTCTTTAAACCATAAATTTTATGGTTTATGAATTATATCTCGATTTGTTTTTTTTAAAAAGGACACTGAACACACACACACAAAGAGCACAGAGAATTACGGGCATTTAATAACCTTTGACCAACATTTTTACTACAGACCGTTTACAACTTCATCTTGCAGTAGCCGGCACCAGTCTGAGAACAAAAGAGCAGGGGCTGGTAGAGAAATTCTAAAGCTGGAATGAAGCTGCGCAGAGGGTGAAGGAAAGGAGCCCAGGCCGTCGTGGCAACTGGACAAAGGAGACACATGCTTGTCAAGCTGGAGAATAGGAATTAAGTTTTCTACAACCCAAAGACCTATGCTTTTCATTCCCCTACACTGCACGATATTGCTGCTATGGCTTTTCTACACTCTTCTGGTTGACTCTGGAAGCAAAGAGAACACCTGAACATACTAGAATTTGGAGTGGAAATAGAAACACTTTTGGACCCAAAGCCTGGTTGTTCTTACCTTACTTTTATCCTGCAGGAAGAAGGCAGTGGGGCATAGTCTTCCTCCCTGACAAAGAGACCCTGCATAAACCAGAGGGTTGGAATTTCAGTGGAGTGAACAAAGGAGACGACCTACTTTGAGAGGATCCAGTCAAAAGAGTCTATACCTCACATATCCGTGGCGTCAGCCCAACGGAGGCCTGGAGGACAGAAGAAAGGAAAGCATTACTGTTCACTCACAGTGCTGCTCTCGCCCGGACACCCAGGAACTGTCCTCAGCTGGGGCACAGGCACCCGTCTCCTTGTGCCAGCCTCTCTACTTGAGGGAGTTCCACTGCCGCCGGCATGTAAAGACTAGATTCCCCGACACTTATGGGAGGAGCACACCAGAGGAGAGGCAGATCACTACCTAAGCCAGCAAACCCAGATGCCTGCTTTTGTGAATGAAGGCTTCACCCTTCTTGGATAAGCCCACTTTACCAGTTGGTTCCTCCCAGAGCCCACCTCCTGTTCTACACACAGGAGTGTTAGAGTACAAGGGCATTCAAAGACACATTTAGAGAAAGTGGTTTCCCTTTTTATGTCAGATTCAGTGCTAATCTGGACTCAGGTTAAAGGCTTTATACCCCTGGTTTTATGGGCATTTTCTTCTTTTACTTTCAAATGTGTAAAAATCACACTAAACATGGGCAGAGTAGGCAATGTGCTGGGACCCAGGCAGCAAGGACCATCTTTCAGGAGGAACCGTGCTCTGGAGAATGTCCCTGTGCAGTGCCAACACTGAGCCACAAGTTATCTCACCAGGGAAGTTCTGACCCTAAAATCAACAGTTGTTCTTAAGGAACTCTGCCCTGCTAATTTTTTATGATGAAAGAAGGCTCGGTTTAAGTCCTACACACTTTTTAAAGCTGCCATCCCAGTAGCTGGTTCTCCTGCTGCTTCCGAGCACTCAGGTCTAACACACAGCCTCATTTCTGCTCAGCCCTAGCCAGCGCTTAAGATTCAGTCTGAGTCTTATCAATGATATGAGAAATTCAGAAGAACCGACAAGGTCTGCTTCATCAAAGGGAGTTGTTAAATTTTTCAGGGTTTAATAAAGAGAGCTAATTATTTAAAGTTTACCCTTCATTAAAGTGCTGAAAAAACTAATCTTTTTCTTAAATATTTTATTCATTTATCTTTAGAAGGGAAGGGAAGGAGAGAAGGAGAGAAATATCAATGTATGGTTGCTTCTGGTGCATCCCCTGCTGGGAACTGGCCCCTGCTTGGAACTGGCCTGCAACCCAGGCATGTGCCCTGACGGGGAATTGAACCGCGATGTTTTGGTTCGCAGGCCCGTGCTCAATCCACTGAGCTACACCAGCCAGGGCAAAACTATTCTTAATATAGAACAGGGCCCATTAAATCTTGTTAAAGTCGACTGACTATGAAACTCACATTCTGTCTCTCGGTGGCAAAGACAATGCAAGATTCAGGCTTGCCGTGGCCTTAGGGACATATCCCATTCCCATATCAATACTCACTGGGGTCCCCAGCATGGTGTATGTCTTCCCAGAGCCTGTCTGCCCATAGGCAAAAAGGCATATGTTATAGCCTTCGGCAGCTCCAGACAGTACTTCAGTCCCCAAATCCTGGAACACCTGGAACAACACAAGGAAAGAACTTGTCACTGTGCTTTTACCTTGAGTAGATTTGTTTTTTAATCTAAAAATTTTACAAAATGTTTCAAACATGCATGACTGCAAGTTCTCCACCATTTCACAAGAATCAATTCAACTTCAGAAAAAGATTGCTAAGGAAAATTCATTCAGTCAGTCAATCGTTCAAATACTTTTTAAAGTGCTTACTGTGTGTTGGGCACAATGCTAGATGCTGAAGGCACAAAACTGATGTGGTCCCTAATATTAAGGCATAAAAAAAGGAAGGATATGCAAACAAATTACTGAAGAAAGACCATGAACATTCATTCTTTTTCCTTCCCATTATAAGAAAGTGTTTCATGCAGTTAGTCAGGTAAAGCTATAATGGAATATTGCCCAGAACATACACAAAGTCAGGGTCAACACAGTGGGGAAGTTAAACCCAGGAGTTAGAGAGGGGGTTTCCCTGTAGATCTCATTTCCACATGCTCCCTCCTTAGGGTGACCCTAAGGACCCTAACAGCCGGCTGGATCTGCTGGTCACTCACCTCTGTGGTGGTCAGTTTTAGTGAATCAGAAGCAGCCATAGGTCCGTATGTGAAAACCCGTAGACAGTATTTTGTGTAGTGCCTGAGAGTTCTGTTGGACTTTTAGGCAGACTCTGGTCTCAGGAAAAAACAGCCTGGCTACAGGGAAGACACAGCTTCCCAGCTTGACCAGTCCTCAGTAGAATGCCCCATGGACATCTGCACCCTGTGGCTGTATGGGGGCACCCACCCTTTGTATTACTGTTGCTCAGCATCCAAATACTCTTCCTATTTGGGCAGAGTCTCTGATTGCATCCGTGTCAGTGGGAAGCAGGGCTCAACCCTTCAAAATAGAAGCCTGAACGCGTCAAATAAGGCCTGCCCACTAGGTGCTCCAACTTGTAAGAGAATGACACAAAAACAAAAGAATAGTTGGTAAGTTCTCCATGGTGGCATCAAGAGCCCAACAGCACTGAGCAAACAGACGTACAAATGCCAACTGTGGTGACCAAATCAGACTAGTCTATTACACGCCTTCCCTGCTACCCAGGATCCCACAGTTTTCTACTCACTTTTCAACTTTCCCTTCGGTTCTGTGAATGACCTGATACGGTTCCAAACTGGAATGTGGCTCTCATGCTTCATAGTGTGTGATCTTAAGCAAGTTACTTTGTAAGCCTCAGTTCCCTTACCTGCAAAGGGGATGTTTTATGTCTCTATCACAGGACTGTTATGAAGATTAAGTAAGATAATACACATAACTAGGGGCAACAGGACAAAGACAGAAGTTGCTGACTCAAGGCTACGTTACCCTGTTCTTTGTTTTAGCAGCTGCAGTTAGGCTTCTTGGCCAGTGAACTATTTGTTTTGTTTATTTTTTAATGCTTCTAATATTCAGATGCAGAGCCAAAAGAACCCAGGGAGTGGTGAAAGACTGGGGCCTCTTATGGTTCCCGCCTGCCCTCCTAGCTCCAGGCTTCTCCCTCCCCATTTGTTCACTCCTATGTTAGTAAAGCTAAACGCCTGGCAGGATTCTCTTTGACTCCTGACGTCTGTCTGGGTTAAGTTCCCAGGGATTGAAAGAAGGGTCATTTCTCTTCATCAGACCATTTGAGTTGGCTGTCATCCATTTACTAGTAGTTGGAAAATGTTCCACAAAACTCAACCTTTCTTTCTAGTGCCCCGGGAGAAAGTGGGAACAGAGGTGCAGACGGAGCTGGGCCACATCTAGTCCTCATGCTGTTTCTTTCCACCGCTCACACACGGCTCAGCAGAGGGAGCCCAGTGGGTCATGAAGGAAAATGACAAAATGTTATTCTCCTCGTGTCTTTATCTAAATTCAAATAATTGTGTGGAGGTCTTATGAAAACCATCTTTGAACATACTATTTTCACTGAACAGTAAAAGATGTCAACAAGCAAAACCAGTAGACTCCAAACCTGCAACTGGTGGAAACAGTTCAGATATAGCTACCGTTCTTCAAGAACTGGGATGCTCAGCTCATCATAAGTTCCAGGAAGGGCCAGATGATACCATGGTTCACTCTCACCATGACAATATAATGTTGCAGTTCAATGTGAATACCAAAAAGAGTTTGAAAGCTAAAATAAGTCACCAAAGGAATCTAAAGCTAGAGGGTCCGGTTCAGGAGGAGAGATGGGCAATGTGATTTTTTTTTCTGGAGTTTAAGTAGATGAAAGTGTTAAATAGTCAGATTGGCCATATGTCATAGAGTACTTCCAGTCTTTTTAAGTACTAACTAGAGAGGGACAACCCATTGAACGCTGTCCCAACACCTGAAGCAAAAATCAAAAGCTCTGCCCTTACCCATTTCCTAAGGGCATCTGAATCTAAGAATCAGAATTTTGTAAAAAAAATAAGTTCTCAAAAGAATGAGAAGACAAACCACATATTAGGGGAAAATATTTGCAAAACATACAACTCATAAAGGACTTCTATCCAAAACATACAAAGAACTCTTAAAACTCAACAATAAGAAAACGAACAACCCAATTAAAATATGGGCAAAAGATCAGATATGTCACCCAAAAAGATACACAGATGGCAAATAAGTATATTAAAAGATGTTCATCATTATACATTATTAGGGTTGCAGATTAAAACAAGGAGATACCACCATACATTTGTTAGAATGACCGAAACCAAACACACTGACAACACCGAACGTTGCCATGGATGTGGAACAACAGGAACTCATATGCATTGCTGGTGGGAATGGGACAGTCAGTCTGAAAGGCAGTTTAGCACTTTTTTACAAAACTAACCATACTCTAATCATAAAATACATCAATCACACACACTGGTATTTACCCAAAGGAGCTGAAAACTAAATCCACACAAAAATGTGCACACGGTGCTTATAGCAGCTTTATTCATAACTGCCAAAACTTGAAAGCAACCAAGTGTTCTCCACCAGGTAAATGGGTAAATAAGTGGGGTTACGTCCTGACAATGGAATATTCATGCTAAAAAGAAATGAGCTATCATTGAGTAACCTTGAATGCACATTACTATGTGAAAGAAGCCGATCTGAAAATGCTATATACTGTATGATTCCACATATGTGACATTCTGGGAAAGGCAAAACTATGGAGACAATAAAAAGATTAGTGACTGGTGGGGATATGTTGGGTGGAGCACAGAGGAATTTTTAGGGCAGTGAAACTATCCTGTATGATGCTATAATGTTGCATACATGTCATTATACACTTGTCAAACCCATAGAATGTACAAAACCAAGAATGAACCCTAATGTAAAGTATGGATGTTGGGTGATAATGATGTATCACCAATGTAGACTCATCAATGGTAACAAACATACCACTCCAGTGTGTGATATTGGTAGCTGGTGGGCAGAAGGGAAATGAGGTCTCTCTGTGCTTTGTACTCAGTTTTGTGGTGAATCTAAAACTGATCTAACAAAGTCTATTTTTGAAAAGTAAGGTCAAAACAAAATAAATCTTACAGGATAGACTTCCCCAATATCAGCAACATTATCAGACATACCCTTCTTAAAAACAGCTAGAATCAACCATGTCACTGGAGATTTCATGATGACTGTATAAGGTCCAAGAATAATGGCTGCCCTGAATTTTCCTAAAGACATTTTTCATTGACATTTTTTTTTCTGGAACAACAGCTGGAAATTGATGGGGGTACTAGTTTATCTGGAGGACAAGAAACAGAACACGAAGCTCAGGATTGGATTGAACAAACTCAGCAGTTTGTCAGATCTGGTTTAACATCATTTGCTGACAGATTTTTGTTGTTGTTTTCAGTGGTTCTGGAGTTCTTTCTATTAAGTGTTATGTTCTATAAACCCCAAGTAGACTCCAAACAAAAAAAGAAATCTGTGACTTCAATTTATGATAAGAAAATTTTCAAAACAATGAAATAAAGACTGATTTAAAATACAGGTCTCAGAAATTGTCAAATGAGTGAGAAGTAAGAGGGATATTTCAACTGCTGGAAACTATTCAAACACATGTTTTCACTAATGCTGTTACTTAGGAAAACCTCAAGTAACCCAGAGTTCTACTTACACTTCTCGTCACACAGAGGTGCTGAGGAGGTCAGGTTGATAATATTTGTAGATCTATTGACCCCCCCCTCTCTTCAAACTTGTGGTAGACTGTATAGAAAAGTGGGGTTCAGGGTCCACAATTTGAAGAGAGAGTATTCATATAAAATACATAACTGAATGGGGCCTGGAGTTGCATAAGGGCTTAGAAAGATTTCTCTTCCTCTAAAAAGCTACACTATAGTTTAGAGGTTAAGAACACAGGCTTTGGAACTTTCTATGTTAAAAACCTGGCTCTTTAGGCATGTAAAGTTACCTCAGTTTTTACATCGGTGAAATGGAGATTTTAAAAGCATCTAAAACTCAGAAGGATTTTTGAAAAGGTTAACTGCATTAATACATGTAAGGCCTTTAGAACCATGTCTGACACAAAGTAAGCATTAACTAAACGCAAGCTTTTATTGTAAACACTCCCCCATTTTTCTATATAAGGACTACTCAGAGGAGTTACTATCCTCTCTCCCCTCACGTATTTTAAGGGGAACCATGTACAGTGCTTATTTTGGAAAACATTCCTGAGTATGACAGGAGACTCAAGAATATTTTTATTTTAAGATAAATAGTTAATAAGCCTAATAGGTAAAGCATATTTTTTTTTACTTTTTAAAAGGTTTTATTTATTTTTAGAGAGAAGAGAAGAGGGGAAGAGAGAGAGAGAGAGCAAAACATCAACTGAAAGAGAAACATTGATCAGCTGTAACACGACCCAGCCGGGGCCAAACCTGCAAACCAGGCACATGCCCTGACTGGGAATCGGACAGGTAACCTTTCACTTTGCCCCACCGACTGAGCCACACTAGTCAGGGATGTTAATTTTAATTAACACTTTAAAAAACATTATTTAATATACCATCCTCATTTAAATTTCTCTAATGGCATCAAATATCTCTTTTTATGGTTGCTTTGACCTACATATTATTTGCTTTTTTTAATCTAGAACAGTCTCACTTTTTTCATTTTTAAGTATATTTTATTGATTATGCTGTTACAGCTGTCCCATTTCCCCCCTTTACCTCCCTCTACCCTGTACCTCCCCAGTCTCCAGCATTCCCCCACCTTAGTTCATATCCATGGGTCATACATATAAGTTCTTTGGTTTCTCCATTTCCTATGTTAAAGCTATTGTTTTAGGAAATGCAGGTACCGCTCACCACTCCCGGGAAAGAAAGCCAACTTCCGGGGGCCGAGCTAAAGACCACTGCCTGGGGACAGCTAACCACCCAGGGGGAGAATGATGCAGTTTTTAATCTAATTTTCCCTGAATTTCAAAATTTCTCACCACCCTTTGTTCTCTGTTATAAAAAGGCTGGTTTGGAAGGAAATGTAAGCCAGTCTGTTAGGGTACAAACCCACTGTCTCCTCAGATCCCCGGCCATCTGAATAAAGTGCCCATAAAGATTCGACCCCTGTCTCTGCTTATTGGGTTTGGTATGTCACAGGCAGCATGAACGCTGGCTTTTCCGACTTCAGATACAGATGCCATAGTTAATGCCCCAACTTCACACAGATACCTTCTGAACGACTTCTACCTTCTATCCCAGTGATTTTTAAACAGTGTGCTGTGGCAGGCACACTGGTGTGCTGCAAAAAAATTTAAAACAGGCAATACTTGACTATTTAGTCAGGAGCGCTGACTTCTTTTCCTTTAGATTATAAAATTAAAAAATGACAACAGGCAACACGACAATAGCTACATGATGTGAGTGAATCAAAACTAAACCTATTTTTTGACATATTAGCAAAAAATATATTTTGGTGTGCCGCAGAATTTTAGTAGTTAGTTTATATGTTCCAGGAGATGAAAAAGGTTGAAAAATGGTGTTCTATTGAAAATTTATCTCCAAAAAAACCTTCACAAACATTAACGTAAAATAATAATTAAAAATCCTCATAGCTTGAAGGATTTTCTAGGGCCTAGGGATTATACTTTTCCTTTTATAAATAAGAAAATCATGTCACTAAGAGGGAGGTTATTTATCCAAAAAAATACATAAAGTTCTTGGCCCTTAATACTTTCCCACAGAAAGGCTCCGTCCATTTCTCTATTTTCCTAATACATTTTTTGAGATTTTATTTATTTATTTATAGAGAGAGTGAGGGAGGGAGGGAGAAAAAGAGGGAGAGAAACATTAACGTGAGAGAGAAACATCAATCCTTTGCCTCTTGCATGCCCCCCCACCTGGGAACCAGCCCTGCAACCCAGGCATGTGCCCCACCAAAAACTGAACTGGCGACCTTTTGCTTTTTAGTACAATGCCCAACCAACTGACCATACCAGTCAGGATCATACACTTCTTTTTCTTTTTCTGGCTTTTTTTTTTAAGAAGGTGAGGTCTTCCAGTCAAGATGGCAAGGTAGGCAGACATGGCTCATCTCTTTGCACAACCACATCAAAATTACAACTAAAAAACAACAACCATCACTCAGGAACATCAGAAATCAAGATGAGTGGAAATCTGACAATAATGAAATTGAAGAAACCACATCCATCTAGGCCAGGCCAGGAGGAGGGGCACCAATACAGAACAGGCTAGCCCCACAACGACATAAATAAAAAATTGGGAAGGATATTGTGGAACCAAGGAGTCCCAGACCCACAGTAGGTCCCCCAGCCCAGGGTTCTAGTGCCAGGAAGATAAGTCCCCACAACTTTTGTCTATGAAAACCAGTGAAGATTGAGTCATTAAAGGAGGCTGCTAGAGCCCTAAGCAGTTCCTCTTGGGAAACCACACATGGACTCACCTACTCAGACTCGCTCCCTCTGAGCTCCAGCACGCAGGTGGCAGCATGAGGGGCACCGGTGGTATAAAGAAAGAGGTGAAGATTATGCAAAGTGAAATAAAGAAAATTATACAGGGAACCAACAGTGAAGGAAAGGAAACCACGACTCAAATAAAAGTTTTGGAAAGACAGAAAGAAATAAACATTTGACCAGAACAGAATGAAGAAACAAGAATTCAAAAAATAAACAGAGGCTTAGGAACTGCTGGAACAGCTTTACATGTTCCAACATCTGAATCACAGGGGTGCTAGGAGGACAAGAGGAAAACCAAGAAATTGAAAACTTATTTGAAAAAATAATGAAGGAAAACTTTCCCAATCTGGTGAAGGAAATAGACATAGAAGTCCAGGAAGCTCATAGAATTCCAAAGAAGTTGGATCCAAGGAGGAAAACACCAAGACACATCATAATTAAATTACCCAAGATTAAAGAGGAGAGAATCTTAAAAGCATCAAGAGAGGAGACAGTTCCTTACAAAGGAGTTCCCATCAGACTGTCAGCTGATTTCTCAAAAGAAACCTTATAGGCAAAGTGCTGGGAAGAAGTATTGCAAGTCATGAAAGGCAGGAACCTACATCCAAGATTACTCTATCCAGCAAAGCTATCATTTAGAATGGAAGGGCAAATAAAGTGCTTCCCAGATAAGGTCATGTTAAAGGAATTCATCATCACCAAGCCCTTATTATATGAAATGTTGAAGGGACTTATCTGAGAAAAAAAAGATCAAAACTATGAACAGTAAAATGACAACAACCTCACAACCATCAGCAACCGAACCTAAAACAAAACAAAAACAAAAATGAACTAAGCAAACAAGTAGAACAGAATCACAGAAATGGAGGTCACATAGAGGGTTATCAATGTGGAGGGGTAGAGGGAAGAATGGGGGAAAAAGCAAAGGGAATGAGAAGCATAAATGGTAGGTACAAAATAGTCAGGGGGAGGTTAAAAATAGTATAAGAAATGAAGAAGCCAAAGAACTTATATGTACAACCCATGGACATGAACTAAGGGGAAGGAATGTTCGAGTAGAAGGGAATAAAGGGGAAAATATAGGACAACTATAATAGCATAATCAATAAAATATACTTTAAGAAAAGGACTTCTGGCCAAGATGGAGGTGTAGGTGGAAACATTGTACCTCCTCACGCATCCAAGTTTAAAGACAACAAAGTTTTAGTAACAAAAACACAACCAAAACACAGAAAATTGAACTGTATGGAAGTCCGACAACAACGAACCACTCAGCCAGACCAGTAAGAGGGGCGGAGTCAGCAGCTGGCGGACTGGGGTTCCACAGGAAAAAGCAACCCGACTGAACTGACCCCAGCCCACAGGCGGCAGTTGGCAGATCCCAGGCGGGAAGTGGCAACAGGCGGATCCAGTGGGGGCACAAGGTAGCTGGCTGACCACAGTCACACATTCACACTCAGATAAACCAGGCGAAGGAGCAAGCAGTGAGACAGACCGCACAGGCTAGGGACCCAACGATGGGAATTAAAGCCTAAAAGCACCAACTGGAAAAACTTTCAGGGTCGAGGTGCTGGGAGAAGCTCTCAAGCTCACAGAGAGTTTGTTGGCGGGACCCACAGGGTCCTGGAGGGTGCACAGGCCCACACACCCAGGAGCCGGCACCAGGGGGTCCTGGTTTGCTTGCAGGAAGCAGTAGAGGGGACCAAAATCCAAGAGAGAGCAGAACAAATGCCATTGCCCCTCTCTGACCCTGCCCCCACATACAGTGTTACAACCCAGCGACCTGGGTGGCCCCGCCCTGGTGAACAACTAAGGCTCCGCCCCTCAAATGTAACTAGTGCGAACAAACCAAAACATTATGGCTCAAGAAGAACAGTTCGAAGCCCCAGAGCCAATACTTCAAAGCGACCAAGAGATAGCTAACCT